GTAAATAGCTTAAAGGGTGGCCACACCGCATCAACCCTTGCAACTACTTCTCCACGTACTTAGCAAGTACAACACAACTCATCCCGACGCATGACCGAAGCAAGAGCGGCGTCAGCCGGTGTCGCCTCCTGCTCCAGCTCCAGCTCCCGGTCCCATTACCGGCACACCCCCCGACCCGAAACCGAAGAAAGACCGGACGAGCGAACCCAATCCAACACACCGGACAGCGGAACTCCGTCGATGACGGATGGAGTTCGCCTCACGCAGATCCCACAACTGCAGCTGGACGACGACGGTGCTCCCTCGCCGTGGCCTTCCGAGGGACTGTACCTCGGGCCCGATAAATCCCTCCCCCCTCCCCCCCCCCCGGCCCCCGAACCTGGCTGGATCCAGAAGTCCCAAAATACTGCGGGGGCGACCGGGCTCGTCCCATATAATGAGGCTCGTGGTCGTAATACTGTTTAATTTATCGGCCCACTTGCTGCAATAGAGAGAGAGAGAAGTTGCTTGTGCTGCATGCCTGCGACATAATTAACGCAATGAGGCAGGACTCCTGAGCGAGCAGCAGCACCCTTTTATTTGCCAGCGAAAGTTCGGTCCAGTTTGCCACCATGTTAAGGTACAGCCAGTGGGGCTGGGCGACGTCTAATTAAACCAGGGACCGAGGAAAGGAAAAGGCCAGCGGAGCAGCGCAGAGCAGAGGGATCATCATGGGGTGGGATTTGGGAGAGGAAGGGGTGGCAGACCGACAGGCGTGTAAAGGACATCGTCGATTGGAAAGAAGGTAAAAGAACAGAGATTGACGGAGACGAGCAAACCGATGGCCGATCGTGCAGAGCCACGGGATGATGCGGAGCCACGGGATGATGCGGAGCACTGAATCTCGACTGTCCCGGACCCCCGACGCGGTTCGAACCGGAGGCTCGGCGGGTGAGTCGAGAGCCCTGGAGGATCCGCTCGCTGGGGTGAGGAGGAACCTTTGGTCCCCGGCAGAAAGTGGGCGACCCATTTGCAAGTGGCTCTGCACGCGCATCATGCATTACGCATTGATCCCGTGGCCAGAAATCCGATCTGATAGCGGACCAGCAGACTAGAAGAATGACGAACTCGACAGCCCCCTCTTCGTTCATTTCCACAGACCGGGCCGGGCCGGGCCGGGCCAGTCCAGTTCAGTCCCACCCCACCCAATATCTCGCGCCCTTCCCAACCCCACCACCTCTTCGTCGCCCGAACGAACGAGCGAACTGTTGCGCTCGCTCTCCTTCGGGCGAAAATTGGAGCCCCTCGTGCGCTTGAGGCGGGCATGGACTCGGATTGGGCCACCGACACGGAGCCATGGCGTCCATGCCATGGGCTTAAACCATCGTGGGAAAATTTGTGAACCTTCTTCTGTTTCTTCGACTCATAGCTCCGAGTCCTCTTCGAGATTATTGACTATCTTTTACTGCAGTTTCCGAACCGCATTCCGTAATGGGGTCTGACTTTACCACGCAAGTTAGTAAAGTCAGACCCCATTGGACTGATTGGAAACGTCCCCCTCTTGGTTCGAGAACCATGAGGGAAACTTTTCCGTTTCCCGCTGTCGCACTTAGAGCGGATGTGCTGTGCCCTGCGGTCAGATTAACTTATTTTTATTTTTATTTATTTCACTGCAAGATGAGAATTGGTGTGGAAAATGAAACTTGCAGAAGGATTGCATCGCTATTTCTAGGTGGACAGAGGGAGTAGAGAAAGGGAGATAAGAGCATCGTGAAGAGATGAAGAAGGGTCAATGTTTCACGGTAAATGAAATTATAAAATTGATACATTATAGTTATATCAAGCTATGATTTCTTTTTAAAGACAATCTTATTGATGTAACAAGACTCAAAGTTCGTAACTATCGTAATGATTTATATGATTTGATATAAACTGTAGATATTGATGTAATTTTTATTACTGAATTTATTAAATATCACATAAATCCGTCGGAAATAAATGTTTTGATTTCTATTAACCCTTGAAGTACAATGTATGATGCCCAGATATCTTGTGACATACATTTACTATATTTTTGTGCCGAAAGAGGGGGTCCAGCATTTATGTTAGGATATTGACAAAATATTTGGAAGTATTGATAAACAGAATGAAGATAAATGAGTGTTGGAAAACTTTTTCAACATAGGTTCTTTATTTCAAACTCTTTTCAGATGTTAAATATCGGTTTCATCAGAAGGGTTTTTTTTGAAACTTTTAAACTTTGGATCATAAATGTTTGGAGCTAATCCCAATACCAAATACGCTATTGAGTTCCCAAAATTGTACACAATGTCAAACATGGTAGAGATCATCGAACACTGGCATGCCAACTGTTAAATGACGAGAAGGGAACGAATCCAATCAAAGACTCAACCACCTTCTTCAGATGGAGAGAAGTAGATGATGATACAAGATGCCGAAGTTCTATCTTCTCCTTCTTGGTCTCCATGATAGATAACTGTCAAGGAAAGCTTTTCTCATTGGTGAAAATCCTCAACTTTGTCTGCTACCATGAATTGTCGTCGCGGAGCTCTCTCATCAATCAATCGTACATATGTACATACATAAGACAGAAGTAAGAACGGGGTTAGATGTGCACTAGAAGTTCGCATGTGTGAATCTGGGGCCAAACAAACAAGACAAGTCGATTATAACAACATGTTCGATCCATAACACCGTGAAGTCCCCAAGATATGCTCGACTGAGAAGATGCAAAATTGTCGCCCTTCGATCAAGTGGGGCGGGGGAGAGGATCCTGGTGACGAAGATGCCCCAGTCGCTCCAGACCCCTGCTTACCTGACAAGGACCAGTTTTGTCCTTGAAGATATGGCCCCAGGTGGACATGAATCTTGAGGAGATTCCCGGCGATCGAAGCTGTCCCCCGCCTTCTTCCCATTTCCTGCTGTGCTTGCTGGTCTCGGGACTTGAGAATGTGATGCTGACGACGATATCATGATGGACATCGAGGGTTCTGGGCTTCCGTGCTGCCTTTGAAGATGGCCATGACGGCCTCGACGGATCGACGACTTGATTATTCTCGCTGGCCGATTAGCGAGTCCACGGCCCCCGTCCCGTCGATGGAAAACTACTCCGCCCGTACGCATGGACGTCAGAGTCCGCTTGCTCCCTCCTTATATGATATGCCCTACATGTGCATGCTATCATCAGGCACTTTCTGGTGCACCACCCCCGCCAAGAAAGAGAAGTTTATGATAGCAAAGTCATTTGCCAGCTGCTGCAGTAGCTCGAGCACTCGAGCGACTTTCCCTATTTAATGGCTCTGTGTATACTCTCGCCACAAAGCGTAGCCGTCCAAATGTTCCTCTGCTCTCGCCTTCCACAGGTTGACATTAGTTTCGAGAAACGAACACAGAGTAATATAGATCGCCGAAGGGATGAGAATGCCCTACCGAGTTATACTCGAATGAATCCGATAGCGTAGGGTAGCCCTATCCATCGAACTCATCACATTGTTATCATATTGAATCTCTTAGATACTAATAATGTACATAAAGTTTTCTATACAGTGTGCATAGAAAATTTTTTTAAGTATGGGTACAATACATCTAATATTTTATATGTAAACTATTTATCGAAAGACTATGAGACATCTGTGGGGCATATTTTGTCTAGATCTTTTTAACAAAATGGGTATGTTGCATCCATAGCTCTGTATGAAAACATTTTTCTCCATTTAGGTCGAAATAGAAATGCTAATCATATGCTTTAAACTACACTAGTTGTAAGATTTTTTAATCACAACACCCAAAATAGAAATATAATTCTCCTTAACTAGATATACGTATACTCTGCTCAAGATTACTACAGAGCGTACAAACTCCATATGAACTAAAATTTTCATTTGAGGAAATAAACATCATATGCATGAGGACAGTTTGAATATGCAAGGAATCATGTGAACACTGCCTTATCTAACTAATGTGAAATAACATAAAAAAAAATAGTTTCGGTTCAAATTAGTTTATAATTTTAGACCTACAAGTAAAATTTGATAAATCTGATTCAATTCAGTTCTAATTTATAAGCTAATTACGTGTTTAAATTAAATATGATAACTTCTCGATAAACAGTGATAAGTTATGCACTTGCTCAAGAGTGGAAGATCAAAAAAATTTCCTTCAATTGATACAATAAAAATATATAATATGAAAACCACACTATACTTAGTCAGACAAAATTTCATATTTTTTTATCTAAAAATTAAATTAAAGTAAAGTAAATCTAGATTTTAGGTGTTCCCCGAACAAGACAATGTACAAATGATCATGTATTCAATAAAAGAGGAGGATGTTTGAAACAAAAACAAGAGTTGATGTTAAAACATTACTCGTATCAGCTGCGTTGTGTGCATTTCGTTATTGCAACTTATGAGGTACATGCGGAATGGATGAGTTTCTCGACCTGTGGGAAATGATTTCCTTAATGACGGAAATCAGTTGAACGAAGAAGGGTTCGAGTCGATAAGTGCAGTAGACTTGGCGACGGACGGGTCCGATCACCGTTCGAACCCGGGCGGAGCTTGCTTGAAACCCAAGGGTCAAGGTTGAGAGGTTTAGCGCTTGGCGGTAGCCATGATTCGACTCCCGTAGGTGGCTCGCCCGGCTTAAGATCCATCGCCAATAACAAGGGCAACGCATCGTTGCAAGGACAGTGGCCTGTGCCAACTGTAGATTTGATTTTCCGACAACAGAACAGGTCAAATTGATGATCGCCGAATAGACGACCAGCGGCACATGGAGTGAGTTCTGCCGCTGCCGCTGCTCCTGCTGCTGCTCCTGCGGCTGTGCTCTTTCGTCGTCGAGCGAAGGGAGGAACGCGCTGAAACTTGTTGGTCGAATGCCGAACGAAGAATGAAGGGGAGGAAAAAAATAATACTCCTGCCCAGATCGGTAAGGCGGCTCGAGAGAGTGGGAGAGAGAGAGAGAGAGAGAGGGAGGGAGGGAGGGAGGGGGAGAGAGGGAGAGGACTGTGGACTGGAACGAAGGATGCATTGCGGCGAGGGGTGAAATCGTCCAAATGCTCCAGTCCAGTCCAAGCTGTTCAGAACCTTTTCCCTTTTCCTTTTATCTGGTAGCTGGCACACGGATATATACCTCGGCCCACTTGCTCGGAATTGCACCCAACCGCTAACCACTACGCGAGCATCGTCCTGTATTTGTGAATCATATTGTAGTTCTCCCTGCTGCACATCTACGGCACTGCTATCATTGAATCTAGGTGAGCAGATCTGCGTATGACAGCATGAGAGCGGGTCGAGATTTCTCAAGGCGCCATCGCGAGCCCGCAGTGCACTCCCGCCGGGAGTTTTCCGAAGGAATCTTCTGCTGCGAGGTTGTATCTCTTCTGGAAGATGCGTTGATGCGATTCTACACCGGTGGAAATCTTCCCATGGACATTGCGGTGACCTCGACTCTTTCTTTATCTGTGCTGAAAGAAACCTTCAAGATTGACGAGGGAGAGAAGATTGTCTAGCATTACTGTATTCCTGGGTTGTGAAGAGGAGTGCATCTTACTCTAGAATGGCCGAGTTGTACCATCGATATTTACTACCATAAGTATCATCCACATCGACGATCGGCTGAAATTATTTCCACAGAAAGTTCAGATTCATTATAGACCGAAAAGTGTACTCAGTTGACTAGGAAGAATTCGCGTCGACTCGATTGTGAGACTTCTCATCTTCCATATCATGTCCTGGCCGGGACATTAATTGCGTCAGAAAGGAATGGAAATGCCCTACCTTTCTTCCCTCGGGAGTTGATGAAACGCAAGTTACTCTTCCTCCTTGCGACGATGTAAGTTGATGTGTTAAGGGACCTAGACAAGATTGAAGCATCAACAACGGAGTCTGGTCGTGCGCATAAAGTTCTCTTAAATGTTCGGAAATCTTAGCAGGCCAAAACTTTGTTGATACCGGTTCCATGGAAACTGAAAAACCAATATAAGACGAACGTGATAATTTCCACATTGTCATAGAACAGCTAAGTGGTAATATGTTCCCGCGTAGCTGAAATATCGACCTTATTATAGGAGGTAAACGGTAGTCCAGGTTTTGAGCCCACGATGAGAAGCCGGGAAGTACTTCTTTTTCTATGAATTTCTTCTCATCTGCTTGGAGGAACTCTTGACATATTGCAGCACTGGATGAACTCCAGTTGAACTGCTTTACTGGAGATGACCCCTGATGGGAAGACCACTGGGTCATAGTGGACCTCGCTTCATGTAGGAAACGAGCTCATGTTTCATGTCATAGAGGATCCTAGTCATGGAACAAGTCTTACATGGTCATACGAGTGTCCACCTTGTTTACATGCGTAGTATAAATTCTAGATTGGACAGTTTAGGGATTACATCACTAACCTTTCTTAGCGGCAAACATTCGATGCGGCGAAAGTTGGTTATCGCTGATCCTTCTCAGATAAAAGAACTCGTATTTTTTTCGATGGACCTTGCCAAAAGCAAAGGTTTGTGATCTTGATAACTCCTGTAGTACAAAATGAACTGAAAGTGGTGTATACCATATGAAATATTCTTAAATGATGATTTGATGTGAGAAACGCTGGATTAGTTTCATCTCACAATAGAAAATTGAAACAGAAATATCAACAAATTTTTTTTGCTTCCAGAAACCTAAAGCATTATATATGTTTATCAATACTAAAGATATTCATAACATTGAGCTAAGAAGCCATCGATAAATTCATGAAATTTAATATTTTTTATTTACTTAAGTTGTGGCTATATTCCGTTTATGATCTCTGCAAGAAACCTAGACAAGTTCAAGAAGTGTACTTACTTCGACATATTATCGAATGGTGATTTCCTCCCTTCTTTAAAAAAACCCTGTCGCGAGAAAAATCATGATGTCTTTTGAATCTGCTCATACGATTGTGATAGCAAAATCGTCGATAATTGTTGGTGTCCGACCATGCCTGCTATCTCAAGCGTGCGAGAAAACGTTGGGATGAAACGGGGCGGTTTGGTGTTGCCTCGACGTGGAATGAATCCGGGTAGAGGTGCCGTACTACAGAGGAGAGTCTGAGAGTGGCCGAACCGAAGGCAGGAACGGGTCGGGAAGTGCTGCGATGACCGACTGCCCCAGTGCAGCACCGCTCGCGAGCTCTCCCGCACCGCACGAAACGGTGCAGTGTGGCGGGTACGGACCAGCGGCGATGAACATATACGAGATTTGCAGATCTTTGACATTGAAAGTAAAGAGCAATTATTCGGTGATTTCTCCTTTTCTCCTTCTCTTTCCTGATGACGTAGGAATGGCATGACGTCAGCTCTGCATAGATAGCGCGCCGCGCTAGAGATGGAGGTTGTCGGGTGCTTGATCCCACTGCGTGCGACCAAACAGTCCGACGCTTTATGGCGAATGGAAGTGATTTCTGCAGCAGCTTCTTGATTCTGCGTTCATTTCCTATACTGAAAGATTTCGCGTACAACAGTAAGTCGGTACTGTAGTTTACGACGTCGCTAAGACTTGTAGTGGTCTTGATTGGCAGACTTCTAACGTTTCTGACGTACCGATCACACCTAATTCAGTCAACTTCGGTCAAGCTTGCCATTTTTCCGAACCACAGTGTCCTCCCCTATCAATGTCATTGGATGTGCCTCATAGCTATATATGACTTGATGTCGATAGAAATGGCTGAGGAGGAAAGAGAGAAGAGGAACTCGCATGAAAACAATTCACGTATGGAGTGTGGAGCCAAAATACTAACAAGCTGCGAGGAAGCTCAAGGGAGAGGATAGAAAGAATACTACCTTAAATTTGACATTGAGGACCAAACCGGGAACGTCCGTAGCAAGGTTCGAGTGGAAACTCACCTGCAGCGCTAAGTGTAAGGGAAGGAAGGCAAAGACGGGGATAATAAGTTTTTGTTTTTTATGTTTACTTCTGGCTCCGTTTACTCTTGTGCGACGAATCTCTCGGGTCCTTAAAATTTCCCTTGCACTTGAGGTCTTTAACAGCCGATTCAGATTCTACCGCGGTGGTGGTCGATGACGAAGCGGGAACCTACTTACTCCGTTTGTAACCCACTTACTTCGTTCTGACTCGCGGATTGCGGATAGGTCCCACCAATGTAGAACGCGGGAGGTGTCCTCAGCAAGGTGGGTGGGGGACCGGGGGAAAAATTGCTATAGTCAGTATTTCACTTGAGGAAGACTACGGAGGTGAAGTATCATGTATAAGGTACTTAACATCCGCCGTCCTCGAGTGAAGTACAATCCAGAACGTGGAGTGAGGATTGGAAGGTTTGCCGAGTCGAGGCTACTTCCAACACTTGCTTCGACTTACTTCTAGCAGCGGAGGATTCTTTGAGGCCATCAAGGTCCTTTTCCTCAGCGAGCTTCTCACGACAACAACTCCACAATTTTGTCTAGCCGCCCCCCTCACTTGGCCACCATCCCTACCATCGCATTCCTTGCCCTTCGTTCCATGCCATTCTCTTCGCGCAACTTGGAGCAGCTTCTCGCTGCAGTAGACCGTACGATTGAAGACAGTGCTCCCGAAGCACTTACGCCACAGGTTAGATTGAATTTTTAGAATTCACTTCATGAGCTTTCGACAGGATCACCACGTCGCACGTGAGTCTGATAGTTGTTGTTGCTGGTCACTCACTCTATCATCTGTCTGCTGCTGCTGCACATGAGTGTCCGGGGATATCCTGCATTGCATTGCTTCACTTTGTAGCGGTTGCGTGTTGACTAACGTGAAGGCCCGGCCGCTCCGCAATTGTTTTTCTTGCTTAGCATCGTATAACATCGGCCTGGCTTTCAGAGTTGGTCCTCTTTCAATTCGCCGTCATCGAGGTTGAATGCGTTGCTTCCTTTCACGATTCGCTCTCTGACATCGTTTGTGAATTTTAAGGACTAAAAACATTTCGCTCATCCGTACTGCGGAGATTAATCTGACATTGCCACCATCAGCAATTCGACTCGCGCAACTGATCGTCGTTTCATTTTCCTTCACCATCTGCAGGTCATTCATCCGGTCCAAGTGGAAGAAGCAAGTCCAAAGGCGCGCGGATAATTTGCTCGAACACCCACTGACAGCCATGGACGGGCGCCACAATCCATTGACGACTCCCACCTTCTCGATGGAATTGGCCAAGCTTTGTAGACTTTCTGGTTCCGACCTGCAGGCGCGCCCTATCACTCAGTACCCTTCGGTGGATTTTTCGTATTACAGTTCGTCCCGTTTCCAGAACGACCCAACCTCCAGCACACCTCATTTCATTCCCGTACCTGCAAGAAATGGATCCAAACGTATCCGAGTCAGTGAACAAAACAATGGGACGTCTCCAGCACACCCAACGGAGGGGTTACCTCTAGCAATTGAGAAGAGTACAAACGCATTCAATTTTAACCGCGAGCTACTCGGCGTCGCCCTCGACGCTGCTGCAGTGCAAGACAGTCCCGGTGCATCCGAACCCGAAAAGGAAGAACCTCCGGAAATGTCCGACGACGATGCAGACGACGAGAACGAACTCGACGCCTCGACCCCGACGACGACGACGACGACTCCTCGCTCGAGCGACGATGGTGTCGATGACGAGCCCGCCGAGTCAGATCCATGCGATGTGCTGGGCAGCAATGTGTTCCGCCTCATCCTCGGCCTCCTCGATTGCAAAACCCTGTGCAGGTGCTTGGCCGTGTCGGCGGCGTGGCAGCGATGCGCGCAAGACGACTTCCTCTGGGCCGCGGCCTGCCAAGAATTATGGGCCGACAAAATTCGCATCCATCCGGCCGCCCTCCTCCCCTCGACGCCGCGCCTCAAGGCCTTCCAGCTTTCTCTGGCCGACTCCCGACGGGTAAATTCCCATTCCCCCACCCGGACTCGGCCGCCGCGCCCTTCTTGAGCGTTACGAAACCCTGCGATCGACTTCTTGATCGTAACCTTCTCCCGGACGCTCTCCGTCCCCGGAGCTTCGAAGGCGCTGCGACCGTTGCGCGCGTGATTTCGAACCCCATTCGGAGTTCGTGCAGATTCAAATCGAATTGCTCGAGCTACTGAATTGTTGTGTCGTCGTGTCTCTCAGTTCGTTCCGCGGTGACTGGATTTCCACGTGGGCAGCGCATTATTAGTCCAGAGATGAAGGCGCCGCTCGGCAGATCGCTCTCTATGTCTGTGGGGAGGCGCGTTCCCATGCTGGCGAAAATCTGTCAGTATTTTCACGGGTTACTGACATATTCAGCTCGACGCCCTCGAAGCTGAAATCGAAGAAAAAGCGTTATCGCATTCTCGAGTTTCCCTTCCCGCTTGCCGTCAGGAATTTCTGCTTGAGCTCCGTTGGGTCAAGCTTAGGATTTTTAGATTTGCACGGACGGTTTCGATCGGTCGTAAATGGCGAGGAGAGTTTCGGAAGTGCTTGACCTGCATTGTTTAGAGTGCTTGACCTCCGCAAGTCTGTGCATCGGTTGTCCGCTTTGCGCGGATATGTGGGAGCGATATGGAGAGAGAATGTTTCTCGCGAGAGGAGAAGTTGTACATCTGCCCTGTTTGTTGTGCAAAGGCTTTCGGAGAAGCCGTGTTATTCTCAGTCTGCAGATTGCAGACGCAGCGAGGGAGGGAGATTGCTGTCGATCGCAACTCTAACGTTCGATTGTCGTTTGATGCAGACAAGCATCGAGGCGCGGGACCTGTGTACTGTCGTATGGGAACTACGCTACAAAGAGGTAAATAGCGCTGCCCACATGTTTCTCCTGCACGTCCCGATCGGCAAAAATGTAACACAATGTAGGACTCTGAGAAATGCTCCGTCCCACTTCTTTCCCGGAACAGTGGGCGATTATTGTGATCTTTTCATCGAGAATTGTGAATGCACGTTCGCTGTGGAACCCGCTTCGGACGCAAGGTCTGGCGATAGTTAAGACCACCCAAGCAGCCGCAGGGTTCTAGATCTTTTCGAGCTGTTGAGAAGTGGCGAACACAAATGGTTGTCAACGTTGCTGGGGTTAGAAGATTTGTCGTCTAGTACATTATCTACTTTGTCCTCAGTTGTGTACGTTGTCCGGGGATATTGTGAATGCTGCGACGGACATGTCACTGTTGGAAGGGAAGAAGGGGCGTGACGATTTCTGAAGGTTTGCTGTGCCGCTGCTTTTTCTATCGACTACCGACTACCGACTATCGACCTGGCGCTAACAGTGTTTTCACACACTCGTACCGTGTTGTCCATCACTGCAGCACACAGGAGAATACTGGAAGCAACTTGACCCGTATTATCGAGGACTGCCCTTAATGCGCCGCATCTTTCACAAGGATGGCCACATCACGGCAGAACCTATGGATCAGATCTGGGGCGGTCACGAATGTTCGTGGACCTTGCGCAGATCCAAGTCGAAGGCAGGACCACCTTTAGTGCGTATTAACCACTGGCCCCCTCTCACGATCTCGCGTACCCTTGCTTGGGGCTGGAAAATGGAGAATGCCTGGGTTGTCTACACCTCCACCTGTGAGACAGTCACGAGCAGCCCCAGCCCCACTTGATACTGCACCGGCCTGAACGTCCTACCGATAGATTACTTGGTGTCAACTTTACGTCCTCAGTCAGACTTTGCACATATCACCACTATACTCAGCTCGTCCGCCCTCTATTTCATGATTGTAGAGAGGAAGATGTCACCTCGCACGATCTAAGAGAAAAGCAGTTGTTTGTAGACCGAGGATTTTCATTTCCCTTAAACGTTGAGATCTATTTGAGAGTAGATGGATTGAAGCGAACAAGAGTTGAGCTAGGTGATTCAAAGCGCAGATTTAGGAACGGTTACGAACGATTTACAGTACCGTATTGGTTTTTATATGAGAGGGTGATGGCAACTTCGAGTAGATGACCACCGAAAGTTTTCTTTAACTTTGTCAATGTGGAAAATGTCAATTACTCTCAGTTTACTAAATGATGGACGTGCTTCGAACCTTCTGGAAATTTCGTAGAGTGCATTTTTGAGTATGTAATTTCGTCGAGATAAATGGAAGGCTAGAACTCGGAAGATATCTCTAAGCTGACTAACTTCAGGACCCACTGATAAATGGTCTCGAATTCTCAATCAGATTTACCAACGTTCTCGTAAGATTGCTTCTTGTACGTCTACATGTATCTCCCTCATTATCCAAAAAAGTATAGAGTACTTGAGGGTCGTGTTGAGATCATACTTGAAATTTGCTACAGACAGATGTTTACTCACTTCACACTCTCCGGCTGGAGGAATAGTTGTCAGAGTTACTGCCATACTTATCTGCCCTATATAATTTAGTCCTGACTATTTTCAGATTTACATGATGAGGAATCGATTGTTGAGTAATACCCATCAAATACTCTTGTATCTGATGGGTATGACAGATTATTTGCCCAATTTTCACAGTTTGTATGTGTATATTCTATATGATCATCATCCAATTATGACTATGGCAGAAATTCATTTGCATGCTTTCATTGGTTATTACTTTTTGCTATCAAAACTATCTAGACTATCAAAACATAAATTGCTTGATAGGGTCACATCAAGCAATTCAATTTACCCTATGTGACTTTACCAAACAGTACACGTCAGCGTCAAATCGGTTCCTTAAGATAAATTTGTTGTTCAAGGATAAATTTGTCCGGAGAAATTCATGTGCGCAAAAATTTTCATTGTGGCAATCTAGTGTTCGATGGTTTGACGAAAGAACTAGTAATCCTGAGTTCTTTCGTCAGAGGTGGAAGGTGTACTACTAGTGACATTGCATTGTATCTCAAATCATTGTTTCCAGATCCAAAAGTGATTTGTACTATTTTTTGGGAACGGGAGTACAACCTTTAATGTCCAGAAATTTATCTAAATTAGTTTGGGTTGTGAAATCTTGCGGGCGAAAGCATATCCATGTTTGTCGCAGAAACACGAATTATAACATATTCATAGAATTCATTTGTGCAGAAACACGAATTATAACATATTCATAGAATTCATTTGTACAAAACATAGCCGTATCCACTTTTGTTAAAACTCCAACGACACGCAGTCGCAAAAACACGAATTATAACATATTCATAGAATTCATTTGTACAAAACATAGCCGAATTATAACATATTCATAGAATTCATTTGTACAAAACATAGCCGTATCCACTTTTGTTAAAACTCCAGCAACACGCAGTCGCAAAAACACGAATTATAACATATTCATAGAATTCATTTGTGCAAAACATAACGGTACTAAAACGTATATTAAAATGCATTTTTCTCGGTATATTTAAACTTGATGAGTTCCATTCGACAATTTGATGTAATACTTGATGTGTCTTTTTTAATTTATAAAAGACTTGATAGATATTGAAGTTAATTTATGTTTGGTTTAGATTTCGTAAAGCAAACATGTCGTTCTAAAGATTGTTCAGCAAAGATATTTTCCAGTTTATTTTGAGCAGCTACATATATTTCCACCTATCCTCATCCAAGCCTCTTTCATAAAAAACAGCGTTAGGTTGTGTTATTAGTGATGTACACAGTGTACAAGTATCCCGAATGCTTCTTTCAGCAAGTCGAAAGTTATTGGTCTACTCCGAAGTGTTAAATGTTCTAGGGTAATTTTACGACAATATTACTCTTCTGTTGTAGTTGGGAGCTTTGAGTGCTAGTATTCCTGCTTTGCCGCTCTTCTCTTCGTTTTAGTACATTCCTCACGTCACGAGATTTGGTCACAGAATTTGTTCATGAGGTAGTGGGCATGAATCACTGTTCCACACTTCATCACATACACCCTTGTGTACGATTTGACGGGCTGTTACTCTACATAATCACAAGTTGCACATTTCCTTCCGTTTCATAATTGTTCGTGTGAATTCACAAACTTTTCCTTCGAAGACTTTTAGCAGACAGCAGTACACGTTAAACCCAAATGTGACTTTGCAAAGGTTCAAATTCCATTGCACAATTGTCGCTTAACTCAATTACAATTAAGCATAGAAATAATTCGGAAGAGAATTATGTAAAGTAGGCTACGAGTAATTCGATCCTGTGATGATGTCCGAATATGAACCAACTTACTCATCTTGAGTACACAACGTCTACTATCGAGAGGATACGGCTCCTCAGCGTAATATAAGAACATCAACTGCAAACCCAATATTTCACTCCACTGAGCTTCACATGGGGCAATACAGTATACAAGCCAGAACCCTGAGTGTATCTAGACACTGCAGAGACGATGTGACGCATGAGGCTCCAAGAACTCCCGAAGACAACAGTCAAATTTCAATAGGCTTCAAATAAGGGCAACGGAAAGATAGTGGACTAATCGGCGCTATGACTACACTTGCTCAACAAACAACAACGCTGAACGTAACCAGCAAAGGAAAGATAATCAGCACAATATAACCACGGGGAGAGAAACAAACATTTACCATTGCAATATCGGATGGATTGTTTGAATCTAGTGTATTAATGAGCTACGTGTGGTGAAACCATAAGGTTAACTACATTCGCGTGACAAAACTTCACAACGGTGTGTGGACCTCGGGGAACAAAAAGACATCGTGAGATCCACGCATTTGTATTTCAGCTAGAGGAAAGTATGTTGAATGTTTCATTAAAATTCTTTACTCTATTGAATCCCAGTGCCAGTGGTGGAACGCATGATGAAACCGGACGAACTATGCCCATAATCACAGTGAGTTCAGATACATGGCCCAATCTAAGGACAAATCTTACTGATCAGCTTGTGCTCATGGGCACCCAAATTTGGGTCGAACGTCGAGCTCCACAAATGAACCCGTGCATTATCCCATCACATTCTGGGATGTGGTACGTCTGTACACTTACGCAACCAAAGTGCTGGCAGTGGCGGACTCGCTACATTACGAGAAAGAAAGAGGTATGTTAGCTTGTGCCTGAGAGTTGATGAGTAAACGATAAATGACCTAATATGGTACAGGATGTCTACTTCCGAATTGATGCAATTTACTTGACTTAAGTTATGACACCCAATGCACTCCAACACGCAAAGCGTTCGACTAGGCGGACAAATACTAAAATCTGGATATACAGTACTGAATCAGGTCTCCGTGATGGCAGCTTCGAAGTAAGTAAACAAAGATATACGTACTATTTCCAGTTGGGTGGGAGCTTCTTGGTGCGCTTGTAGTATCTGGCCAAGCGGTGAACACGGCTCTCGATCAAAATAAGACGAAACTTGGAGTCCTTGTCCTTGCGGTTTCTCTCAAGGTGCTTCCTCACGGCAACAGCCTTCTTGATCAAGTGATACAAATCCTCGGGGATCTCAGGACCAAGCCCTAAAAGGAGCAACAAAGCACAAGTCTCAGCTCCCGATCGCTCATTTTTTATGCAAAACAAAAACAATTGAAGGTTGACAGTGACTTACCGTGACCCTTGAGAATCCTGAGAATCTTGCTTCCAGAAACGCTCTTCACTTGGGAGATTCCGTGGGAATCCCTAAGAATGACACCAATCTGGGAAGGGGTCAGACCCTTCTTAGCCAACTTGCAAATATGGTCGTCGACCTCCTGGGTGGTGATCTTCAACCAGCTGGGTGGGTTCCTCTTGTAAGGCAGAGCCGAAGAGGACATACCCTTTCTGCACAGATGACCAAGCGTCGTGATATGAGTCCATGAGAGGATGCCATTGTTGAAGTGACAGTTTGCACCTCAGAATTTTCGAATCAAGATCATGAAGCCAATTCGGACGTATCGACGTGATCAGACCAACGCAACGAGAACAAAATACTCACCCGCGACTGTGCATACGCCCCATTGTGGCGAATTTTCGAGGACCAAGGCGACTGCCTGCGTTCGGTACGAGAGGAGTGACGGGACGCGAGGGAGGAAAGGAAAGGGCTGTCAATGGAGAGAAGCTTGGCCTAAGTCGAAGCTTCTCTCCGGTAACCCTAACAAATTCCCACGTCTAGATCCAAACCGTAGATCTAATCGACGGTCGATTTGACTGTGGTTGTCCCTTCTACCACGGTTTTCTATTCTTACCACGGTTGGCTCTTCCTACCACGGTTTCCCCGTCAACCGCGACGGCGACCACGTTCGTCCCGACCGCGCGGGGTGGGGGGGAACACGCCTACCGCTCGGTGCCCTCCGCTCGCCGCTTGGCCACCGCTCGCCGGCCGCACGGCCGCCGCTTGCCGCGCCGGAGTGGGGGTTGGAATGGACAATGGCCAGGAACTGGTGGTCGGCCTGCGCGTCCTTGTGGAGGACCTTTCGGGGCACGCCTGGTCCTCGGTGCGACGGTCGCGGCCATTTCTTCGACGTCGGCGCTGGCCTTCTCGTCGGCGCTCATGCGGTTTCCCATGCCGGCGGGTCCCATCTCCGGCGCTTTCTCGCTCTCGCCCGAAAACGGGAAAAAAAAACAGAATCGGCTCCGGCCTGCCACGAGTGCAACGCCCTCCGCCTGCACACGAATTCCAGAAGCCCCGCCGGCCACGTGTCCACTCTGCTTGGCTTCTCCACGGACACCATCATCACCGAGACCTTCATGTCTTTCCTCGTATTTCCACGGATTTCGTTGACATCGCCCCTGTTAGATTCCCTTTCAGAATTCTCTCAACGTTTTCCGCGGCCCTGACAACAGCCATGGTAGCTAACACCGTGCCCTCTTGTTTCGTTGGAACTTGCAAAGATACTCGAGTGATCGATCATCCACTGCGGAAGAGCCGAACCCAGCGAAAAGTTTGGACGAATTGTCCGTGGCCGCGATGCTTTACTGTACTGGTAAATGAACATCACAACCCAATTACAACCGGCGGTCGACTGAACCTCGGGGGACCGCCTCCGGCCGCCGCTCGGCCCTGCGCGCCTTCGCACGGCCTTGCGCTGCTGCTCGATGGCCATTTTGTATACTGAATTCGGTTTTGTTGAGAAGTCCGATCGTTTCGACGATTACACACTAAGACTTCCTCACACACGTTGTTCTCGCCATGACCATGACAAACCTGGTAACATTTTCTGCCACCTGATCATCGTTGTTGCTACTGCTGCTTGCAGCCATACTGCTCAGACGTTGCTGTTGAAGATCCCACCAACCTTGATGTGGGACGTTTGCCCATGACTTTGTCTCCGTCTTACTTAATGAAGCTACACAGGATTCTCGTTATCTCCACCTGCCGCTTTGAGAATATCGGGGCTTTCTTCAAAGGTGCAGCAGTATTGCATCTTCGAAGGTCGACGATATAGGCCACGGTCGTCTAATCGACCGTCGATTCACTCGAGGGAAATACTTGCGCACTACTGCAAATCCGGAATGTGGAAACGGCCGACAAACTACTTAGACAAATGTCTAAGTAGAACTTATTTCGACAAGGCCAACAAACTTATCATCATTTCATTTTCGCCCCTAATTCAATAATGTGGCGGTAAACGATCCATCCCATTACAATTTCCTGCTAAATCAGTACATGAGCAAGTTTATATACTTCAGGTTCCAAGTCTTTGATACGGGTATCGGAGTTGTTGTAAATCGCCAATTTTATCTCAATTCAAGTTGATTTGACCTTCATTCTCTCATAACAAACCGCTCAACTTTAATTTGTGATAATTATTGCTTTTTTAAATATATGTTTTATGGTCTTTTCTGGTTTTGTGAAATAATACAGAAATTAACTTTATAAAATACCTTATATTTTTAAATAAAAAATAACGTATTGTACAACTTTTAAACGATTGATTTATTCCTCCTTATCGGAGGTTATGCTTTGAATAGCCAGCCAATGCACTATACAATGACACACTTGGGTTTATTTTATTTGAAAATGATAAATTTGTTAGAAATCTGATAAATTTATGCTTTTAACAGAAAAAAATCATCAATTTGAGAAAATAAATAAATTTTTTAAGGAAATTGTACAAAAATTTGAAAACTGATCTTATAGGAATGGACTGATTCATTAAGAAATAATTAAGAAAATTCAAAATTTGAATTCTAAAAAAAAAACCTTTATATTCCAATACATTAATTTTATTTTCAGATTCTGATTTTTATCTTTTTTATATTTTTTATGCCATTGAATTATTATATAGTAAAATAAATTAACCATATATAAAGTGAAACAAATCTCATTTTCTTGTATGTATGCAATTTTTTATTCAAACAACTCACTTTTATATATTTTAAAATTGAAATATATACATGATAAAAAATGAATGATAAAAAAACAGTTATAAAAGTTATAAGAAATAAATTATTTATAAATTTAAAATCAAATCAATTAGTTTAGACATTTACAATTTCATAAGTTATTTATAAATTCACAATTGGGAAATTTAATATAAAAAATAACAATTAGAAATACATCCAGTAATTAAGACTTAACTATTTTATTCAAAAATTTACAATTTAATGAGTCATTCATAAACCTAAAATTTCAAAAGTCAGTTTTAAATTTGATAAGCCAATTATAAATTTAGCATTTGAAAGAAAAAAATTTAAATGACAATTAAAAATTTTATTTATAAATTTATAGTCTAATAAGTGAATAAAAATTAATGAATATATAATATTTCTGCACGTAATAAATTTAAAATCTCTGCACGTGTCATGATGATGATAGCCTCATAAATTATTACTCCAAATGTATGAAGTAAAAAAATATTAAAAAAATCTATGAAGAATTTTTATGTTTGTAACCTTTATAAATAAAAAAAGTTTTAAATTTAAAGATTTGGGTAATTAATTTTTATTTTTTAAATTTAATCGTTTGCCTACACGCTTTTGGTGCATAACATAATTTTCTGAACTTTCGACCACGATCGCTGGAAACGTACGGGTTATGTGGTAATCACGATGTTGTCTTATTCCTCCATTATTGCGATAGACCGCTCACCACTAATTCACATGCTTCCTCATTCTCTCTTTGGATCGAATGTCTTGTCTTTACGCCCCGCTGTTCAAGTCAGTAGGTGTGATTTGTGGAGCCCGGACGGATGGATGGATGGATGACCTGCTGATGGTGCTTCCTGACTGCTGTGTTGTGTGCATGGGAGGCTCGCTGCAAGAGTTGCATCGTTGAGTCGAGTATTTCCATGGGCTGGTGTAACACTAGGGTTTAGAGAGAAGTTCACTCAAAGATATAAACGTAAACTCTGAAGATGAGAGATACCAACAATGGTTCTCCTCTCCCTTATATAGCTCTCACCAACAAGTACAAGGTGATAAGATCTAATCCCCACCATCCATCCTACTCCTAGTGGATGGATGACGTGACGGATAACCCTAACAAGCACACGGATCGCTGACGTGGCGCACCCAACTAACACACTCAATCCTTACCTACAAGCACACGGATTGCTGACGTGGCACTATCAACTAACACATCCACTCGGTACCTACCAAGTGCGCGGATCGCTGACGTAGCAACCGTGACTAGTGCACACTAAAGTATCTACATCAATATTCAGAGTAACCTCTACTTTAGTTCTAACTAACTAAAGATGGTTACAGCTCGTTAATTGTTGCTTGTTAATTAATTTTTAAATAATTGAAGAAAATATTAATTTTTGTATATATAAAAATAAAATTAAAAAAACTTATAAAGTAATTATTCATTTTTTAAAAAAAATCTACTTATCCAATAAATATATAAAAGGAGAAAGTAGTAAAAAATCATTTCAGTAAGTGGTGACAAAAATAACAATTTTGAGTCTGAAATCCCCTACACTTATATCTTTCTCCTAGACTTTGAGTTGAAGACTTTGAAACAATTCTAGACTTTTTCTCAATCATGAGAAGTAGTCAAAAGTGGAGAATTGATTTGTGCAAATGGTGTAAGTGGTAACAAAAATTTCAAGAGAAGATGAACAAAATATTTTTGGAGCTGTACAGAAATCGCGAGAGTAGAGTAAGTGATCATTACCAAAATGTAAGAATTGTTTTAAAAATATTTTTTAAATTTAAAAAAGTAATAAGTTATTAAAAAATTACAATCCAACAAATTTATTATACATTTAAAATTTATTAAAAAATTTAAAATTGATTAATAAACTTACTTAATCTATTCATTTACTTACAATTTAATAATTTATTTGTAAATTTACAACAAAATAAGTGATTTGAAATTTTAAAAATCAATCATATTTTTAAAATTTTACAATTGAAGTATATATGTATAATGAAATTATATATTTATAATCGATTATTAAAAAATCCATAAGATCATCATTTAAAAAAAATATTTATCAGTTGATCATTTATCTATAAATTTGAAATGGTTGCTTACTTCTTAACTTTGCAATGATGTTTATAGTTAGGTTATCTTTAATTTGTTTCACTTTTTTATTATGATTTTATTCAAAATATGTTTAATTGTAACTTGTTTACACGAAATATATATTGCTTTTTGGTTAGGAAGTGTATCGGTATTCTTTACTTCTCTTTACTTTTTTTGTTTATTTTTTTTTAAACACCAACTAATTCATTCAAACCAAAAGGTAAGAATTTAAAAATAATTTGAAAATTTTAAAATATACTTAAATGTTTTATTCAATTTTTTTCATTGGTTATTTAATAATTGAAAAAAAAAATTGTGTTTCAAAAACTTCACAATTTAGATTTTTTGAAAAAATTTGATAGATAATTTTTAGTGAATAGTGATATAAAAGTGACAAAAAAATCATTTAGAAATTGATTTTTAAAAAAATATAAAAAGTCTGCATTGTTTGAAATTGATAGTTAGCAATTAATTTAAAATTTGGAGTTTTATTAATTTATTCAACTTAAATTGAAATTTGATTTTATATTTATACATTGATAAATTGGCAGTTTAATTGATTCATTCATGATTTTATTAGTAAATTATGTATTTTTTAGTGATAATCCTATAATTTATCTATTTATTCATCATTTGGTTAAATATGAAATTAATTTCATATTTAGTTGACTGTTTAAATTAAATAATTTATAATTTTTTTATTTAATCATGCATCTAACAAATCATTATTTACTTCTTGAATCCAAGAATAAATATTTTTATTTTTTAAAATAAAAATAATTATTAATATAATGAATAATTACTTTAAAATTTAATTATTGTTTATTTATAAAATAATAATAATTCTTTTGTTAATTAAATAATAATAAAAAATATTAAAATTTAATAACGTTTTATTTATTAAACTTTAGATAATAATAATTATTTCATAAATTTATAAAATAAAATTTCACTCCATACATTTGGAGTAAAAATCCATGAGGTTACCACGCAATGGTAGCATCGCCCGAACGGAGTCCCCGTTCGGGCGCCGGAGCATGATGTGACTGGCAGCGCGGGAGGGCAGCCAGCCAGCCAGCCATGCGGCCGGTCACTCGCACGAATCAAGAACGGTGCATGCAGAATCACCGAGCGAAAACACTCAACCGCCCTCCCGCCCGCCCGCGGCCCGTCCATCGGACTCCCCATCCGTCCACGAGAAGATACCCTTTCCATCGAGAGAACTCCCGCGACGAGGACAATACTCCTCGTTCCGTACGAAGGCGAGGTCAAGAGGAAAGTAGACAAGTGGACAGGAGCCGCGGCAGCATCTTTCACACTCGTCCTCGAACGAGCACCTCGTCCAGAGCTCATCTGTGTCTTGCTGTGTGTCTCTGTGTGTGAGTGAACTGTTGGATGTGCGTGTAGAGTTAGAGAAAGGGCGGGGTGCCGGGACGAGGACGGGATAGCGCGCTCAAGTGGCGCAGGAAGTATATTTGGGTTGTACGAGGTATCGCGAGCGGAGGAGGGAACTCTAGATGTGGTTTTGTTGTAACTGAGTTTGAACGAGGAGAGGAGAGGAGAGAAATCTATGGACAGGACTTTTGTGGAGGAGGAGGAGGAGGAGCTTTCCGACTCCGAGAATGAGCAGGCGAACGTCCGGTGGGCGGAGATGTTGCCCGAGACTCTCGTCGAAGTGATGAGGAGGTTGCCTTCGAGGGAACTTCTGCAGACTGTACCTCAAGTTTGTAAAGCTTGGAGAAAGGCTTCGCTGGATCCTGCCTGCTGGCAGGTTGTCGATCTCAAAGACTGGTGCATTTCGGCCGGGGGAGGTGAAATTGTCGATCGCATGGTGAAATTGGTTGTGTCTCGGAGCTGTGGTGGGATTCGGGAGCTGCGTGTGACGAATTTGGACAGCGATGCCAGTTTGCACTATCTCGCGCAGAGGTATGTCTATTTCTTGGTTACCAGTTCTTTGAACATGAATGGCTCTGTGCACTTCGTCCTTTTCGTTAAAACTCGAATGTTTATTTGTACCATAATTACCCAGTTATATCTTCGCTGAAATAGCATTCTTGTTTTAGGGATTGAAAGCTCTTGCAGTCTCTCAATTACCTTTATTCAAAGAACTGCGTTTTCTCTGCCAAAACCTTAGAAACCACTTCTTTTATGTCGACTCCAGATTAGTGGGAGCTGGAACGAAGCTGGACAATGTTTTATTGTGCAAAATTTGCAAGATTTTTATAAAGCTGCTTAAGATTTATACAAGATTTGAAAGAACGGAACACTTCGATCTTTTACTCGTGTATGATCACTTATACGATCGATAATGAAGTTTGTCATCATTTTGCTTTTCTTATGTTTGTATTGGGACCAACAAATAGCTCTCCTTAGTATATGTGAAGTGTTTACTTTTTGTATGGTACTATCCACATATTGTCTTAAGAATGTGCGATAACCAAATTGAGTGCGTACACCATCGAACACTGGAGCATGCTGTACTTATTTTTTTTTCGTGGTACAAATTGGTGTTCACAGTCGTCTGAGTTCGTTGAGGACGCTCTGCATTCCTTCCTCGAAGATAACTGAGGCTGGCCTTTGTGAACTCATTTTGACCTTGCCTTCACTTGTGCATCTAGACATAAGCAAGTGTAGCGCAATAAAATGTAAAGCGTTGGAAGTTATTGGTCAGACCTGCGAGTCACTCATCAGACTTGACAGAAGCATGTGGGCTTTGAATCTGGCAACTATGGGACCTAGCGATGACTCGGAAGCCCTGGCCATTGCACATAACATGCCCAAGCTTAAACATCTGGAGATGGTATCAGGTTTGTTGACTAACGCAGGCCTGATCGCCATCCTGGATAAGTGTCCTGATTTGGAGTACCTGGATGTTAGTCGTTGCTGGAACGTGAAGTATGGGTGTACCATGTCTTCAAAATGCCAGAAAGTGCGCCAGTTCATCGGAGGGAACACAGAAGGATCTGACTATGATTACGATGAAGACGATGACGACAATGCGGAAGAATGGGACTACAGAACTGAGTTTTTCGAGGACTTCGAGTATCTTGAATCCTATATCGAAGATGAATTTTCCTTGTTTGATCTTTAGATGCAGGTCTCACGGAAGGGATATGACATGTCAGTAATGTAATTTCGAGATTATCTTTCTCTCCTCATTTATATTTTTTTCCCCAGGATCTCACAGGATGTGGTAGACGCATGTCCCCATCCTCAGGCAGTGAAAGAATCCATCAGTCATTAGGAGAATAGCAGAAAACTGAGCGGTCCTTCATGACACCTACGTAGCAAAGAGCTAGCATTTCTGTGTACACGTCGGATTGAGTCTCGCCCCGCAGACTAATTGTTCGTACTTCATGAACCTGTTACCAGGAAAAGTGGTCGTATATTTGTTCGGTGAGAAATCTCTTATTCTGATAATTTTGTAAGCCTGGGACTATCGTTTCTTAAGCTTTCCTCCATACTAATTTTATCACTCAGCTGTATTCTTGAAAATGTGGCCTTTTTGTCTGCAAGAATTCGATTATCGGATGCTAATATTTTGTCAGTCTCTTATTCCCCTCCTTGTATAAGAGCACACTGCATAAACGCAGTGTACTGCTGTTAGAAACGTTGTGGAAATGGACTTTCCAGTAGTTTTTTCGTTTTGAAGGTCGTCGCCTTCAAATGATTGCATCATTGATCAGATCCCTTAGCATTTTTTAAAAGGCCTTAGTTGTCCACATGTCTGAAACTACTCGCGGGTTCATGTGAGGCAGTCCTGATTTTTGGCAGATGGAACTCTACAATCTGTCGAGTGATGTTGAAGTCCCCTAGGGTTGTTCAGTTTTCATAATTGATTGCATGTGCATCTTTCTGTCATCAGATCCAGGGTCTAAGAAAACTTCTTGTCAACTTCGAATGGCAAGAAGCTAAGGACTTGATATTCAGGACAATATCTACAGTTAAGCATCTTCCAAGCTGTCACCGGTCGTCAGATTCCCATCCCTCGCCGCTATTCCACAATGGAAGCAAGGAAAGACCATTTTTTACTCTCCCTACACACAGATTCCACACAAAAGTACGACTTCCGAGGAGTTACAAAGACTTACCGCCCCCTCGAGGTTGCCAGCAACGACATTGTAGCAAGAAAAATCGACTGGAAGACAATCAAGGAGGTAGAATTGGACTTGAAGGCCATATGTCACCCACTGACCATTGAGAAGGTCCTGGTGTGGGTCTGAACTGTGAAGATATGGAATATCCGGATATGTCCAAGAAGATTATAGGATCTACAACCCTGAAGTGGGGCCGGACGATGGGGTTTGTATATTTAAACTTTTGGTACCAGAACCGAGATATGCTCACCGCACAGATGTCTCCTGCCCAATATAGGCACGCCTTGTCCGATTGTCTTCTTGACGAACAACAAGAGATCTCATCTCGGTACTGGAATACTTCCTCAAAGGTACCGGCGGGCCAAATAGGTTATCCAAAAAAGGATGGGAAGACCCCAGCAACTAGTGAGGCAGCGAGCCACATCTCCCTAAAGCCCGTTAGCTGTTGGCTTTTGGACTTTGAACTGGTTTCAGAGCTGACCGTCAACCATGTTCATCTAGGGTATAGAGAGCCCGCTCTATCAGATTTGATGTCAAAGTAATGTTATGAGATGTGCACGTCGTCATACAGAGTAGTTGACCCGTGGAGAAAGGAACTGACATATTCGCGGATTACTTAAGAAGCGCAACATGATCATAGTTATAACGTTGCTCACGTTTACTTGTCTAACTATTTTCTGGTTATCCACCATTGAAAGGAAGTAGCCGGTGCAACTCCAGTCGTTTGTACTGAACCGAGCCTGGGACATTAGTCAGGTGTTTATTTACAGCTAGAGAAGGACTCAATGAAACAGATCGGGCGGGTGTGCCTTTGGAGAAGAGAGATACCTCGTCAGTTTCAGCTACCTGCATTGAACTAAGTAAGGCATCTGTTTTAGAATTTTCGTTGTTATCATGCTCTGTACGAGTTTATGTTGGCCTACTCTAGAGACTTGATTTTGACTAAGGTGCCCCGGCTTGTGTCCACAGTCTCCATTGCGGACAATGGGAGCCATATTCATTTGCGAGCAAAACTCTTGACTTTGGATATCAGGCGTGGGAAGATGTGAACAGGATTTCTCCGCAATTCAATTTCAGGGTAGAAGTCTGAATCTAGGACTACTTGTCAGTCTGTTCCCCTCATTGTCTGTTACTCATGCAGTATCTGTACCACGCTTTTGGCAACTATGCGTTTGCGAGTCGCCTCACTCTATCCACAATCTCCAACGCAGTGGAGAGACTCGAGTATCATGCGGCCCCATAGCTCTGCCCTTCATCCCGTGGGCCTCCCTCGCGACCAAGTGTTGAGCTTCTCAGTTACCACCTGTCACCCGGAGGTTTAGTGCATGCTTGTCATGTTTTCCTCGGAAAGGCAGGTGTACGACCAATTATAGCACCGGATAGAAGACTACTTTCATGGAAAGGCATCCAACATGTACTGTTGTGTCTGTTGGAGCACAATTTCAATTGACCAAGTGTGTTTCTTGAAAATCAAGACTCTGCAATATCTAATGTTTAATACATTTTAAAGGTGAAATTAACCGAGACCTTATATATATATAAATATATTTTCTTGAAGGTATTTGGAATTTCTTCTGGTTCATGCGCTATTCAGTAAACTTTGCTTCAAAATTTCAATAATGATTTAGTAATCCGAAAGTTAAATACTCAGATTAAATGTCAAAATTTTGACCTGGTGTTTTTGTATACTGGGATTGGTGCAGGATTATTGGTAAATTTCTTTCTAAAGAAAGTAACGAGGTATAATTATGTCTATATTGATTGTTAGAATATATATATATATATATATACATTATCAATATTTCAAGGAAATTAGGATTTCAGCCTTACGTGAATTTCTTATGACTACGCTGATTGGTTCAGTATTGGATTCATTGGTCCCACGAGCTTTCAAACAACAACCATAATTGGAACTGTTTAGTTATACACTCCTCGTGCCTGGACTTGTCATGCATGGGCTTTTCTCCTCATGCATTGTTGCTCGTTCACTCTATAGAATATTTCACAGTATATCCTTGATCAATGAAATTTCACTTTTGCTTTTACCTGGTGCTCTTTACTTGGTCTCCGTCTGTTGGGTAACTACTATCTTTAAAATTCAGACAAAGAACCGTTACATCACTACTTTTGCATCTAGCTAATAGTTTGAAACTAATTTGATACACAAATCAAAGTTGGTTATATATATATATATATATATATATATATATTCTTGATTTATCCCCATTTCAATTTAACGGTAACACTTATCTGATAGTGCATGCATTGACTAGAAGATTCAAGCTCACATCAAAGATTATACGCGTTAGGGTAAGTCTCCAAAGACAAACCTCCCGTCAACAGAAGATGAAATGAATTTGGAAAACAATGAGGAGCAAAAGCCAAACAGAATTTACAGAAATAAAACCATATTTTCATTAGAGTGTTCTCACTCAAAAGCATAATAAGTTAAAATCTGCAAGAATTGATTTGGTTTTATGTATGCGACCTTCTACGGAGACGAGCAAAGTTGCACCTACCTCACAAACATGGGAATATTCGTATGAATAATGCACTCCACCTACCTGGAGTTTCATGAAAGCAGCCTGCGGTCTTTTATTTGACATCAATCTTCAAGACTGTGCTGAAGTAGTTTAACAAAATTTAAAGAGTCTCCAATTTGGAGAAGAGAAAAGAAGAATCTTTCGCTGTAACGAAAGTAAGCAATACTTCCTTTTTACACAATTTATCATTTCTTGATATCCGTGCTTTCGACTGTATGTTACATTATTCTCCAAAAAAAAAATGTCTATCGAATGATCACTACTTACATCCATCCATTATTCTGCAATAGAGATAAACCCATCAACCAACGTTTTAAAGAGATATTCGATCTATGCAACAAGTAACAAAAAATGAAAAGTTAGCATAGCTGATCTCCAATGCAATAAATCCTCCAAGTCAATGGACGTATCACGGGGGATGTTTAGATAAGGAAAAGCATTGTTATACAAGAAAAGAAAAAATTCTTGATAGTCTGAAGAATAGTGTCACTTTGAAAGCAAAAACGAAATATGATGGATCCCTAGACAAAAAAGTTGCCACCAGGTAGTCCAGATTGTAGCTGGGAACCTCGGAAAAAATAAAGGGAAAAATGAAAGAAATAAACTCGTTCTTAAACTGAAATTACGAAACAGGTATATAGATAGTTTTGAAAGTGTGTGAACGCATGTAGGTGTAAATCAAGCAACACAATCCAGAACGAAAAGTCCGAGGGCAGACCGCAGAGCAATGGGCGACTTCTGGACGGCTGGCTGACTAGCCAGCCGTCCATCCGGCAGGCCCGGAGGGAAGCGAAAGATCGAGCGAAAAGACGAAAAGACGAAAAGAGGCGGAAAATTGCTGGCACAGCGGCTCGGCCCGGGTTTGGTCGTGGCGGAAGATCACGGATCGATCGGTAGCAGAGAAGGGAGCCAGGAACGCTGGCGCTGCTGGCTCAAGAGGAAAGACGACGAGAGCCCGCACTGGTCACAATCATCTTCGCGCGACGGGCAGCCGACCGCATTGACATTTGGACAGAGACAGACAGTCGGACAGACAGACAGCTGCATTCCTTTCGCCGATCCCCTCGCTGGGCCGATTGATCGCGTGCTCGAGTCTTTGGCATCAATCAATCTGCCTTCGAGACATTCAATTTTGTGCTCCAGGAGCGCCTGCCCTGTTCGTGGCTGGGAACAAAAAATTGTCGCTCGTCGGAGGTGACGGTTTGCCGGTCCTTATCGCCGATTGAGAGGCACTCTGCTTTTTCTCGATCCAGTCTTTGTCCGATAGCAATTCTCCTCCTCTGTCTCTATCTCTCTCGCTCTCTTCCTTGGACGACGCCGGGAGGTGCCGCCCCCTCTCTTGACAGGGACAGTCGGGGCGCAAGTAGCTCTATCTTTGTCTTTTTGTTCGAATCCCGCCGGAGTTTCCCCTCCTATTAAACAGTAGGGCAAAATGAATATCTTCAGATTGGCTGGAGATATGACACATTTGATGAGTATAGTGGTGCTTCTTCTCAAAATGCATACAATCAAGTCATGTGCCGGTACGTACGTCATGTTTTTTCTCGAAATCCGACCCGGGATCATGTTTGAAGTTGTGTCGAGTGTACACCAATGCGCAAGGCTTTGGCCAAAAATGTTCATATCCTCCAATTACCAGATTCGTGCCCTCCGCTGCACTCAGCTAAACTTACGGGCTTTAGATGTGGACTTTCCTCAATATTTGTATCGAAGATATGAAGAAATCATGCGCACTCGTTGTTAGTTTTGCATGTCAATTTTGCCCGGATCAAGGTGCACGTAGTATTGTGTTTGTCTGTTTGTAGCAAAGAATGTTGGTCTCCCTGGATCTGCGATTGAGACACCACAGCTCATTGATTTTCTGTTGGCTGACATGTGACAGGCATCTCTCTCAAAACGCAAGAACTTTACGCCCTAGTATTCATCACGCGGTATCTGGACATATTCACGGACTTCGTATCTCTATATAACACTGTCATGAAAATATTCTTTCTTGGGACGTCGATTTCGATAGTTTGGTACATGAGGTACCATAAGGTGGTCAAACAGTCTTACGATAAAGATCATGACACGTTTCGGCATTACTTTCTCATCTTACCGTGTTTCTTACTGGCCCTTATTATAAACGACGAGTTCACTTTTCGCGAGGTGCGTATGCAGCTTTCAATATCTAATTCCGTTCGAGGTTTAGGAGGCGAAGGATAGTAATCTTGATATACAGAAGCTGAATGTATTCAGTTCTCTTGCATGGTCTTTAAATTCGCTTGAAGATATCACCCATTCTGGGTGACTCGAAATTCTGACTGAGCAGTGAAGTGCCACGCTTTTCGTAGAGTGCCAGCAATCTTACAACTCCCACGGAAACTATTTTGTCAGTATGGTTGTGGGAAGGAAAGTGGGTAGCAAGTATATCCGGACCACTTCCAAAAGACCTACATGCCGGGAGCTTGATTCCCTTGCCATTTGACCTACAATTTATAGGCTGCACTTTTTGGGTTCCACAGATGTCAGCTGGGTCTGTTCTCTGAAGAGCTTTGTTTGCCTCTAGGAAAAATGTTCTGAGCAATTTTATTCACCCGGCAGTTCTCAAACGTGTGCTGCAGGTTCTCTGGACATTTTCATTGTACCTGGAAGCAGTTGCGATCATTCCCCAGCTCGTTTTGCTGCAGAGAACCAAGAACATTGACAATTTAACTGGGAACTACGTGTTTTTCCTGGGGTAGGGTCCTGTATTTTCATGTTTTCCCTGCCTCTCCTCTCGTCCTCCAAATGATTTTATTTCCTTCGCACCCTGCTTGCTTCCGTGCTGTTGACAATGTGTTAAAGTCATGTTTCTCCGGTAGTTGATTCAGATGTCAATTCAGTCCCAAACCCAAATGGGACTGAACCCTGCACCCAGTGCAGGCTTACTGCTTGCTGTTGGGAAAGTTTCGAGGCTCATTGTGTTGGGACGAAGTAAAATTTTTAAATAATCGAAGATTGTAAATGTACATCTTTAGTGCGTGTCAGGGCCTCGGACTCATATCCACTATGCCATTCTTTTTGACAGCGCTTATCGGGGATTGTATATACTCAACTGGATCTATCGTTACTTCACCGACAGCCACTACCGCCGGAAAGGAATAAGTAAGCCATTGTGGTGGATTAGACCTCGTAGATATGTCTTCAAGCTTGACCTATTTTCTATTCTTCGTTATCTGCTTGACACTAATCAGACCTCTGAACGTAACTGTCATGCATGCTAACCCTAAAAGTGCTGGTGGCAGCCTGGACCTCGGGTATTGTGCAAACCCTTCTATATGCAGATTTCTTCTACTATTACATCAGAAGGTATGAATTCATCTACTTTCCGTTTAATGATGTTGTACGTATCTTTCCATTGAGGCTCTTTTGCGTTTAAAGTTATTATCAGATGGTTGTATATATCTCTCAACACGAATTACACATGCGGGTACCTATAGATGTACTAGTAAACATATGGGTTTGAACATATGATGGAGATGTAGTAGATATTTTTGTCTTCCGAGATCTAGAGTTCACAAAGATCGTAATAGATTCTCCTCCCTGGGAGTAACTGTCATGGGGCATCACATTTGTTTCCGCACCTTGCCTAATGGATATCTTACTGTCAGCTGCATCTTTTTTCAGCTTTTTGTTCTCTTTTTCTGTTAACTTATCCTCTTACTTTCAGTATATCTTCAGTTATATAGATAACAGATTGTATATATGTTGATTTCTAAGCCCAAAACAAATTGAAGTTACTTCCAGTTCAATTGGTATGCGTATTTTGTCCATATTGTTCAGGTGCTTTGAAGCCGCTGTGGTTTCTTCCGTTTGGTTTCAAGTTATAGTATTCCTTTACTTCATCACTTTGTCTTAACGGTTGAACACAGTATATATATATATTCTTGAACTTCAACAAGCCCGTGGTGAAACCGTCGTATGGAACATATTCCGAGCAGTAATGATTCTAATGGCTTATTGAGGTCTCGTATGGTTTGATGTTTAGTTTTACGGTTTCTTCTGCTCATGGAGTCATTCGTTACATCAAATGAATCACTTTCTCTGATGTACTCAACTTGTGTAGGAAGGATGAGTGATTATCGAAACATAAACGCGAATACTGGATCTCTTTGAAACGACTTCTATTGCATGGATGTATTCTCGCTGATTGTTTACTGGCCTTCTCCTTAAATAACTTCTCTACTTCGCAATCTTAGTATTCCTTATATTGAGCTACTTTTATGAACACTGGAGGTCCAGAGACGAATCTCTGAAACAAAGACCTTGAAAGGTTCTTCTCAATTTCATGTAACCTTGTTTTCTAACACTTGTTCTGGTCTTGTAGCTGGAGGAGAAACGAGAGGCTCAATCTACCGGCCTAAGTTAGAAAGCAGTAGTCACTAGCGTTGGAGGCCATTATATATGTTGGCGACATTACGAAGGAGCTATCTCCACCCATTTATCCTGTGTCTGATATACTCGCCCTGTAATCTAAGACAAGACGTATCCTCGGACTTGGACCATTTTTGGTATGACACGGTAGAGTTGCGACAATCTCTGATTTCTGCCGCGTGTGGTAGATGTATTAGTGAAAGTCTGAACTATGATTTCTGTGGGCGAGCTGAGAATAAGTTCACCTGCAAATGGATCTTATGGTCCCGAGCCATCAAACGCGATGAATTTACGAAAGAATGTTTCTGGGAAATTTACAAAGAGGTTTAACGTGGGTAGTGTCTAGTGGGAACTATTGTTAAGCAATCGTAGAGGTCTGTGAAGGCTCTCTGCACATTGATAATGAGAGCCTTACATGGACGACGTTGTATCTTCCTGGAACTATCGAAGAGGAGAGCTTCGTGCTACTTCTTGACAAAGGTGAGAAGGAATTTGCTGCGTAGAACCGGTGTATGCAGAAACTGATCGAGCGCAGAGCGACAGTTGAGGGAGTAAGCTGCATGATTCACTCAATTAGGATGGTTCAGGTCACTGGTGTATCAGTTTGGTGCTATGTTGGCCTCTTGAATTTCTAGCATCTTCCGGTGGAAGTGGACTCATTCTCTGTTTTTGAAGTCACTCTGGAGATGGAGCCTGCAGTCCACGAGCAGCCAGGGTCTCTGCGGAGTTCGCGCTTATTCATGTAGCATTTGCGTTGACAAACTGGAGAATGTTTCTACTACTCATTGCAATGTGTCCAAATATGGATCATGTCAATATTGCAAGGTTGTTGCAACCTTTTGGAGCATGGGGTTTTCATCTTATTTATGAGAGCTCCATTGGTGCGGACTGGAGTGTTTAGTCGTTGTTTTCAACTTACGATAATGAAGAGTTGCAGTCTGGTCACACAGGAAATATTCACCTTCTCGGATGCCCTTAAATCGTGTTCTGCTGCTGGAAGGCACGGAGCTAATTACTTCTTGCATGACGTGAGTTATTAGAACTCTCTACATAACGGCTTTTATTGCACACTGCTGTCCATTTTGATCACTTATCATCAGTGTTTGATGGTCAGCTTTAGCAACCGAAGTTCACTTTTGAGTTTCGGCGGTGAAGCTAGCTGGAGTAGTAATACTGACACACTTCAGCTCTCTGCCCATACCACAAGTTTATTCGGTTATGGTTTTTACTGAAACTTGATTTGCTAAGGTGGAAGTCAGAAGTGGTTTATTGGATAAGCCATTTTAAGTGCGAAAGAACACGAATTTCTTTTGTTTCGTATGGGCAACTCATCTCTTGTGAATGAGCACAGCCTGCCTATCTATCTGGAAGAGCACTGTACCTTGAAGACGTGCTTCAGCGAAGGGACCGGTGTTAATATCATATGTCCCAACAGTTAGCAACAAAGGTGTTATCCCTATGAAATGATCGCATAGATGAACCGATGTCCAGGGCTTTTCGATGTGACGCATTTACGTATTAAATTAGTGACATTACTACATCAGGTCAGTTGTCACCATTATAATTTTGCTAATTGAAACGATCTCGATCTTTTTCTTCATAACGATACACAAAATTATGCAGAATGTTATGAGATATGGTGTGAGGACTCACCATACGTGAAATGTACCATTCACTTTAGCACACCTTTTTGTTGAAAACATGTATCCACTTATTTAGCACACTCATTGACATGATGCATCACACATTAGCTATCTCAAGCCATGTGTATTTGCTATACGAAAGTATTAATAGATGTGAATCCAAGGAGAACAATCTGTTTAATTTTCTTGATCATGTTTTTTATCAAGATAGATCTCTCGTGTATATCACAGAATGATGCAAATCATGAGCAAGTGCTACTTCTTTGCCTTATTGTAAAGATGTTCTTTATCAACTTGTAATCATTGGATCAATAGAATATTAGCTGGTAGAATTCATATATGATCGTTGGATTTGAGTTATATGTATTATCTAAACGGAAGATTCAAACCAGTTATTGACACTTGTTGGAAAGTTTGTTGCGGAGAAAAGCAAAAGTATCATTATAAATCAACTTTCAAATCATCATGACAGAAAGAACTAAATTAGAAAATAAAATAAAAATAGAATTAACAAAATAATTACAATCAAAGATAAAAACCTTACAATCTAGCATATTGATTGAAGAATGAAATAAGGAAAAAAATTTCATCCCAAGTTCAATTGTTAAACTGAGTTCTACACTAAAGATAAAATATTGTTTCAAACAAAAAATAGTGAAGTTTGATCAAATTGCCACAAAAAATCTACTTATGTTTAGTACAAAAATAAATGTTATTAAGATAAGTTTATTCAGGAAATTAATATTTTAATAAACATTTCAAATTTCTAAAACTAGTTCATTGATTATTGTGAAGTGTAAACCCGAGAGAAACACAACTATTCAGAAATAACGTGGTTCATCCTAATGTAGGAGGGCTACGTCCACCTAGAAATCGAGCATCTTTCCTTAGGTCATGCCCTGAAAGACTTCACATACAAGTAGAACACCGAGGTATTTATCCCCCGTCCAGATGACCGTTCTAGCTATAAATAGCTAGGATCCGAGATTACTTATTAAGTGGAGTTAACCTCAACAATCTTTCCTTTTACTCACGTAAAGGAATAGTAAACTCTATAGAATACATTATTACTCCGCGGGAAGTTCTAGACAGAAACCTAACATAATGACTTCTCTTTACATAGAAGTTCATTAGAACCAAGCCGTTGTCATAACATGATAGAGTAATAACATAAAGAGTTAACTAAAAACCAACTAGCATAGAGCGAACAGATTTTTGTAATCTATATAATTACTTCGCGGGAAGTTTTAAAAAAACCTAATACAAGACCATTTTTTACACGAGAATTAACCAGAACTAAGCTGTAACCATCACAGGATAGAGTAAATAAATAAAGAAATAACTGAAGATACTATGTTAGCAAACTTTACCTGCGCTTCCCATGCACAATCTACATGATGGCACAATGTCGTCTTAAACTCTCTATAGAAAAAACTTTGACCAACGCATCAACTAGATTAAATTTACTGTCTATCTTGACTAGCTCAATTACCTGAGTTTACTGTCTATCTTGACTAGCTCAATCATCAGAGTGTACTGTCTATCTTGACTAGCTCAATCATCAGAGTTTACTGTCTATCTTGACTAGCTCAATCATCAGTGTCTAACATCCATCTTGACTAACTCAATCATTTTATCAGACACTTTTGTCTAATAAAATACATGATATCGTTGTGTTTCACAGTACTGTAATTAACTTGTACCAAACACATCTTGATTATTTATCACATAATGATAAAACTCTCCCACAACTACATAACGGTGCTCATCTCGATAATTAATCACATAATGATCAAACTTCCCCACAACTACATACCGGTGCTCATCTCGATCAGTAATCATATAATGATCAAAACTCCCTCATATCTATATTCGTGAGCAAAAATTTTCACTTGTGAGTACAAAGATCTTGAGAATTCTACCCCTCTTTCAATCAACAGACTTCATTAAAAGACACACACATCGTAACAAGAATCTTACAATCTACGATGTTCATGACTAACTGTCGCTAGTGACTATCACTCATTGTTGCTCGTGACTAATTATGCCCACAACTGGCCGTCGCGACTCATTGTCATGCATGACAGCTTATCACCATCGCCCTCAAAACTTACCAAAAACGTTGTTCAAAACTTATCATTCGTGACCACCGTTGCTCGTGACAATCGTCACCCACAACTGTATCATACGTCACTCGCTACTTATGTTGCCCGCGATTGCAATATTCGTCACCCGCAACTCCTGTCGCATGTGACCAGCGTTGCCCGCGACTTATCGCCCGCAACTGAAACATTGTGTTCCGCGACGTCTATCGTTCACCGTCGCTCGCAATTGTAATATTCGTCACGAGCAACTCCCGTCGCTCGTGACCAACGTCGCCCGCAACTACCCGTTGCACGCGACCTATGTCACTCACCGTCGCCCGCGACTGCAATATCTGTCACCCGCAACTCCCGTCGCCTGTGATCAGCGTCGTCTGCAACTACCTGTTGCCTGCAACTTACGTCATCCGCAACAAACGTTGCTTGCGACCGGTGTCCGCAACTTACATCACCCGCGACCATTGCTCACAACTTACCGTCGCCCGCAACAAACATTAGCCGCGATCATTCTACACTTTCAACCCAGATTCTTGACATGTTGCGTTGTCATCTCAACCCGTCAAGAATCCAGATATAAAATTAACTTCGGGGCAATTTTTTAAGTCTGGATCATCTTTCAGCTCTTGAAAATGATCGATATGCTTTAGATGCACGGAGAGCTTTCCAACGATACCCAATTTGTCTATATTTTGACAAAGATTCGTGCAGACGTAATATTTACAAACAAAATATTCTGTCACTGTCGTACTCAACCGTTACCGTTGATCCCGGCCGTCACCGTCGGGCTTCGCCGTCACCGTCATTGTCACCGTCGGTCTGCAGTTGACTGCGTTGTCCTACCAACCATGGTTGGCCCGCCGACTAGGTAAAAGCCGCGGCCATGACAACAACCACATTGAACTTCAACCAAAACTGTGACTGCAACTGCAACCACAACCACGTGCACATGACCATGTTCGTCGCGACTACTACCACGTCAACTGCAACCACATTCTTTGAGACTGTGGTACACCTTGACCACTTATAGCTCCAACCACGTCCAATCTAAACCGCGATGCGAACCGCGCTGAAACTGCAAAAACCACTCTTCAAATTGCACTGGTGCTCAAAACCGCGCAGAAAACCACTCTGACTGCGCTGCAAATTGCGCTTTGTCCTACTATGACCGCAACCACAGATCGTCAACTTCAACCAACCATCTTCTGCCCGGACTACCATGGTTGGGAGATCCACCATCTATTCGCATTGCCACCACGTGGCTCTCGCTCAGGCTCTGTTCAGGAAATGACACCTTGCCACTTAGATACCTCCACGTGACGCGCGACTAGTCGTTTGTCACGCGAGAGTGGGAGCCGCCGTGGATCGCCTCTCGGCCAGCACTTGGGTCCTGCCGTTCGAAGGGTGCTAGTTTAAGATTCCATGAGGTACAAACGCATCTGCACCCTTCACTCATAAATTTTAAAGAAATTGCTTGTCTTTATATTAGGATTGTCGGAAGAGTCAATCTTCATCCACGATGTTGTTAATTCCCAGATCTACATCTTGACCAGCGAGTCCACCACCTCCCAGACGTAGTAGCCCAGCAGCAACACCATGCGAACGATGATATCCGTCAGCGATTGCGACGGCAAGCTCTTCCAGGTCGTGTCCATGACCACCACTAGTTAGGGGCATGGGTGCCTACAGGTACTTGATCTTGTTGAAGGCCTTGGTTCACCACGATGATCTTCAAGCATCGTGACTCATGTACTCGTCCACAAGCAAGTTCAAGCGCTTGTACTGTTGCAAGAACGCAACGCTGAGTCTCGAATTTCAGGTTGCATTCTCCTTCATGGCGAGTAGTCATCCATTGATCTTGTGCCACAGTCCAGTTCCCTAACAAAGCGTCAGAGCCAGATAGCAGAAGATTTTGACCACACTAAGTATATCACGGGATTTTGAATCGAATGTTAATTTTCTTCATCCGCTAGAACTAAGGAGCACTAAGGAGCACGGACTCCAATATCTTGGCCATTCCTCATACTTCTGTGGCTGCATAATCACCAAGAAAAATGTGGGAGCACAAGAAGCATCAATAGTGTTGGCTAGACTGATTTC